GGAGACGTAGGCAATTTTGGCCAAACTCCGTTATCAATTGGTGTGTCCAATTATTCCGTCTTTATTTCGTTTTTATTTCACTTTCATAGATCTGACTACATTGAAAAGTTCTGTGTATTTTTCCTAACAACTGGTATCAGAGCTGGTTGTTAACTCTGCAATTTTTGTGGTGACACTATTCATATGAATAGTGAATTTACTATTTTGTAAATAGTAAAAATTTTGTCGGTGCTACAAAATTATCTACTGACGTGTTCCGAAACACGGTAGTTCACAGAAATTGTCAAAAACGATCCAGAAAAGTCAGATCCGAGTTGGAGTGATGGCTGCACATGAAAGAAAGGTGAAAATCGAGAAGTTCGATGGTGCGGACTTTGGGTTCTGGAAGATGCAGATCGAGGATTACCTATATCAGAAGGATATGTTCGAACCACTCACAGGAAAGAAACCAGAGGGTATGAAAGAGGAGGAATGGACTCTTCTCGACAGAAAGGCCCTTGGAGCCATTCGACTGACGTTATCCCGTAATGTTGCTTTTAACATTGCAAAAGAAAAGACAACAGCAGAGTCTTATGGATACTTTTTCCAGTATGTACGAGAAACCATCAGCCTCAAACAAAGTTCATTTGATGAGGCGGTTGTTCAATCTACGGATGTCTGAAGGCGCTTCAACGGCGCAACATATCAATGAACTCAATACTGTTACAACTCAGTTGAGTTCAGTTGGGATCAAGTTCGATGATGAAGTACGAGCTTTGATACTTTTGTCTTCTCTACCAGAAAGTTGGAATGCTATTGTCACAGCTGTGAGTAGCTCATCGGGAAGCAATAAGTTAAAATTTGATGATATTCGTAATTTGGTTCTCGGTGAAGAGATCTGGCGAAGGGAGTCGGGTGAATCATCAACCTCTTCGATGTGCATACGAGTCAAGAGGAAGAAGTTCAAGCAAAGAAAGCGGACGCGAAAAATCAAAGGGCAAACGATCCAAGTCCAGAAATCATCGTAGTTCCCAAAACTCGAAGCAAATCGAGTGTTGGAATTGTGGGAAGACCGGACATTACAAAAATCAGTGCAAGAATGCACGAAAGAATCAAGAAGCGAAGGACGAGGCAAACGTTGCCTCTACCTCAGGAAAAGATGATGTGTTGATATGCTCTTTAGAAAGCAAGGAGGAGTCTTGGGTGTTAGACTCTGGAGCATCATTCCATGCTACCTCACAAAAGCAACTGTTCGAGAATTATGTCCCCAGAAATCTTGGTAAAGTTTACCTTGGTAATGAGCAATCGTGTGAGATTGTAGGTAAAGGTACAGTAAAGATTAAGTTGAACAGGTCTGTATGGGAATTGAAAAATATCAGACATATTCCCGACCTGATGAAAAACTTAATCTCAGTTAGCTAGTAAAGGTTACACAACAATCTTCCACGGTGATGATTGGAAGATCTCAAAGGGTGCGATGACAATTGCTCGAGGCAAAAAGAGTGGTACTCTTTACAAGACTGCAGGAGCATGTCATTTGATTGCAGTTGCAACAAATGAAAATCTCAATCTATGGCACCAAAGACTTGGGCATATGAGTGAGAAAGAGATGAAGATCATGCACTCAAAAGGAAAACTACCAGGTCTTCAGTCAGTAGAAATTGACATGTGTGAAGACTGCATACTTGGAAAGCGAGAAGAGAGTTAACTTTTAGACAAATAGAAGAATTCCAAAGAAAGAGAGACTTGAGCTTGTCCACTCGATGTTTGGGGTCCAACGACTGTCCCATCCGTTGGTGGGAAGCAATACTTCATGACGTTTATCGATGATCACTCCGAAAAGGTATGGGTTTACTTTACGAAACACAAGTCGAAGTATTTGAAGCTTTCAAGATTTGGAAAGTTATGGTAGAAAATGAAACGAGGATTGAAGATTAAGAAGCTCGGATCCGACAATGGTGGTGAATATGTAGACACCGGATTCAAGAAGTTTTGCTATGAGCACGGAATCGGAATGGAGAGGACCGGTGCACGGTACGCCTCAACACAATGGTGTAGGCTGAGCGTATGAACCGAACGTTGATCGAAAGAGCCGAAGCTTGCGTGTACGGTCAGACTTACCAAAGCGAGTTATGGGATGAAACGAGTTAACACAACGACTTACTTGATCAACCGAAGTACATCGGTACCATTGGAGCACGGAATACCGGAAGAGGTATGGAGCGAGAAAGAGGTAAAACTCTCACATCTTAGAGTTTTCGATTGTGTAGCATATGTCCATATCAGTGATCAAGGTAGAAACAAACTTGATCCAAAATCAAAGAAGTGCACTTTCATTGGTTATGGTGAAGATGAGTATGGCTACCGCATATGGGATGATGAAAACAAAAAGATGATCCGCAGCAGAGATGTAATCTTCAATGAAAGAGTGTTGTACAAGGACATGCATAAAACAGGTATTAGCAATTCAGAATCGAGTGGGCCCATTTTTGCAGAAGTGGAAGATGTCCCAGAAAATCCTATAGTGAGAAGTCCTCAGTCAGAGGAATCAATTGAAGAAGGTGATGTGCAACCAGAACCTCTTACTCCAACTCCTGTATTGAGAAGGTCCTTTAGACCTCATGTGCCAAACAGGAGATACATGGACTACATGTTGCTGACTGATGGAGGGGAGCCCGAAGATTATATAGAAGCTTGTCAAACCACAGATGCTAGCAAGTGGGAGTTTGCCATGAAAGAAGAGATGAAGTCTCTGATCTCCAATCAGACATGGGAACTAGTCAAGTTACCCATGGGGAAGAAAACACTTCACAACAAATGGGTGTATCGGGTGAAGGAAGACCATGATGGTTCCAAGAGATACAAAGTCCGACTAGTTGTCAAAGGATTTCGACAGAAAGAAGGAGTTGACTACACTGAAATCTTTGCTCCAGTCGTAAAGCTCAATACTATCAGAACAGTGTTAAGTATTGTGGCTAGTGAAGAGCTCTACCTAGAGCAATTAGATGTGAAGACTGCATTTCTCCACGGAGACATAGATGAGGAGATCTACATGCACCAACATGAAGGATTTTCAGAAGGAAAGAAGGATATGATGTGCAAATTGAAGAAGAGCTTGTACGGTCTGAAACAAGCTCTAAGACAGTGGTACAGGAAGTTTGAAAGCTTCATGCACAAGGAAGATTTCCAGAAGTGCAATGTCGATCACTATTGTTTCTTCAAGAGGTATAAGTCCAATTATATCATATTGCTACTTTATGTTGATGACATGTTAGTAGCGAGGTTCAAATATGAGGGATATCGAAAATTTAAAGATGCGGTTGTCAAAGGAATTTGACATGAAGGACTTAGGACCAGCAAAGAAGATTCTTGGAATGCAAATCACGAGAGATAAGCAAAAAGGAGTTTTGCAGTTATCTCAAGAGGAGTACATCAATCGTGTTTTGCAAAGATTTAACATGGACAAGGTCAAACCAGTCAATACACCTTTGGCCGAGTCATTTTCGTCTATCCAAGGATCAGTCTCCTCAAACAAAGGAAGAAGAAGAAATTATGGCTAAGGTTCCGTATGCTTCAGCCATTGGAAGTCTGATGTACGCAATGGTCTGTACAAGGCCAGACATTGGCCATGTAGTGGGAGTTGTGAGCAGGTTTATGGCAAATCCAGGAAAGGCTCACTGGGAAGCCGTCAAGTGGATTCTAAGATATCTATGAGGAACAACAAAAAAATGTCTGTGTTTTGGAAAAGGAAATCTAAGATTACATAGCTACGTAGATGCAGACTTTGGAGGTGAAGTTGATCAACGAAGAAGCACCACCGATTATGTTTTCACGGTTGGTACTACAGTGTTAGTTGGATGTCGCGAATACAAAAAATTGTTGCTTTATCCACTACAGAGGCTGAGTATGTAGCAGTGACAGAAGCCAGTAAAGAATTGATATGGCTTCAAGGACTGTTAGCAGAGCTGGGATTCACTCAAGAAGGGAGTGTTTTGCATAGTGATAGTCAGAGTGCAATACATCTAGCAAAGAATTCAGCATTTCACTCCAGAACCAAGCACATTGATATTCGTTATCATTTCATCAGATCTCTACTTGAGGATGAGGTGTTAACATTGAAGAAGATTGTAGGAAGCAAGAACCCAGCATATATGCTAACGAAGGTGGTGACCATTGACAAACTGAAGTTGTGCTCAACTTCAGTTGGCTTGCAAGAGTAGCAGACCAGAGAAGACTACTGCATTAATCAAGGTGTGAGGACAGATTGAAATCAGTCCTCAAGTGGGAGATTGTTGGTGTTTGAAAAGTCAAAAAAAGGTGGCAAGTGGTTGGTTGGCAAGTGGTTGGAGACAAGAAAAATTGGAAAGCCTTAAATGCACAAGAACCATTTCTTTTGCTATAAAATGCTCTTTTACTTCACTCATTTCCATCATCCAATTCCAAAGGAACCATTACAAGAGTTAGCCAGCAAGAAGCAGAAAGAAATAATCTAGCTTCTGGGTGTAATTGGGTTGAGGGTTGAGTGTTTTGAGAGTGCTTTGTAAACACCTGTGTATTTTCTTTTCTCCCAGTAAAATATCTGCAGTAGTCCGGAGACGTAGACAATTTTGGCCAAACTCCGTTATCAATTGGTGTGTCCAATTATTCCGTCTTTATTTCGTTTTTATTTCACTTTCATAGATCTGACTACATGGAAAAGTTCTGTGTATTTTTCCTAACACTATATGGCCTTAATAGGGCCTTGTCCCTCAAGAAGAGTGATAGAGTGCCCTTGGGAGATAATCCTTTTGGGTCTTTGAAAACCTCTGCAAACTCCTCCAAAATCTCTTGCAACTTCTTATGTTTTGCTCATTTAGATGGCCCCCTAGCCTTCAATTCCAAGGTGGGTTGGTGTTATCAACTCTATGGAAAGCAATAGCTCTTATACTATCATTTTAGAATTATCCACTAAACATTGAAGGGATACATGTTGGTTGGTCATTTGTCTCCTTTTAAATTCCCACTGAATCTCCCTCCATCTTCTACTTCGCCCAATCAACTATCTTGGTCCTAACATGGTTAGCCAAGACATGTCAAGTACTAAGTCAATCTTCTTAATTGATTTGCAAAACTCATTAAGTGCTTCACCTTTCAACTTCTTCATTTTTAAACCGGATGATCCTTTTCCCCATGGAGGATTTCTTTAGGGAAACAATTTTCTTCTTCAGTCCTCCTTCATCCTCCATGCCACTAGACTCGTCTTTTCCCCAGTTGCCACCCTTTTGATTTCACATTAGGAAATTCAATTTCTCCATGGTTAGTGCTGGGTTCTTTACTGTCTGGGTTTGCATTGATACAACTGTGATTTTGAGAGCATTCAAATCTGCCTCCAACAAGTTCACCTTAGCTTCCACATCTCCCTTATTGTTCTTCCTTCTCGGTGGCATCCGCCTTTGCTTACCTCCTTACCCGCTTGTCCCCCAACATATTTGGCAGGTCGGACCAATAAGGAACCAAAACAGAATCACAAATAAATATGAGTGAAGAGCAAATAATAGAAGAGTAACACTATATTATTGATGAATATCAAAATGAAATACGAGAGAAAACATATTCTCCTGCCCCATAGTTAGGCTCCTAACAGAGAGCTAGAGCTCTCTATTTCTAACAAACTCCATTATCATTCCACAAACATCCCTTTCACTTCCTCACGTCTAATATAACTGAAACGATCCTGGCCCACCTTCTCCCGCACTGTACTGCCAGCACATTCACACACCACCTCCCTGCCACCTTATCCTTCTCTATTCTTTTTATTTCTCCTCTCGTAGACTTTCCACACAATGGGCTTGGGCCTCATATGATTTTGTTGCACTAATTATGCATCTAAGCCCACTTGTCTATTCGGGCTCCTAACATTTTCACTGAGTAGTTGAATAACAATGGAAGAAGAATGGGCAGAAAAGCTCAATGGACAAACATTGAAGCAGGAAATGAAGGAATAAGGGGCTGAAATGTCACCAGAGTTTATGTTATTCTAGTTTTATGAATACAGCCAGTACTAATGAAGATCCTAATATTCAGTTCTCAAATAAAAGCAAAACAGAATGCCAACGTTTCTACCCTCTACTCCTACTTAAGCTAATTCCTACTTTAATAACTGTAACCACCTATCTATTCTAAATAATTTCTAATTAAAACTGTTTAAATAACTACACTCTGGTCTGGTCAAATTCGTAAATATTACCAGTAATTGATACATATCCAATCCATTACTCTATATAGCAGTTTGCACTAATAAGTTATAGTGACAATTTTAAGCTGAAGGGGATACATCATAAACTTGTAAAACAAACACCATAACAGAATTCATTCAGTAAAAAATGGTAATGATAGCACAATTAATAGTAAACACAGTTTGATTCCATTGAAATAAATTTTGTTATTGATCCCTTTCACATGGTAATATCAAAACAAAAACATATCACAGAAATGGAAGAGATGTTTCCATAATAGATTAACATATGTATAACAAAAATACTGCTGTAAAGATAAAAGTCATCAGAATGATGCCCGGCCTACAAAACTTAGGCATTATTGTTTTAATGTTCTTGTGGTTTCAACAGAAATAAATAAACCAAGCTACTGAAATTGTAAATCACTAGTAATTGGATTTGTATACTTGTTTATATACTCAGTATCAAAATTAGACAGAAAGTCCCACCACCCAAGAGCTATAGAACTCAAATGGCAAATAAAGTGAAAGCAGGAAAAACTCAAGGTCCAATTAAGTATTGAAAATAAAATGTTGGAAGCTAGAAAGAACCATAGACATAAAAACATTCAAAGACTACATTACATTTGAATGATTGATCACACCTGTGTAGACATCTGGTAAGAGGGGCAAAGCTTTCTGAAAATTGATGACAAATTTCTTCAAGAATTTTTCCTCAGTTGTGCAAATAATGGAACTAAGGTGCATGTTCTGAAGAAGACCTTTTGATTTCAAGATTTTTATTACCGAGAATCTAGGTATTATCCTCTTCTCCAGGTTGTACGCTACAACTTGAGGATATTCAGCAATAGCTGCTGGTGGCCAACCCATATCCTTTACTAGGAAACTCATCTTTCCAGTAAATGTCGCCTCTGAAAAATTCATTAAACTGGGAAACTTTCTAAATGCTCGAAGGGCCATTTCGCGGTTCCATCCACACCTCTGATAAATCTCAAACCTTGATTCCCACACTTCTTTGCTCTTAGTTACAAGCATTCCAATAGCCACAATAAAATTTGTTCTCAAAGGATTAAACCCAAATTCCTTGGCAGTGTTAACAGCTTCCACAAATTTGGAATGATCCCGGTAGGCTAGAGTCCCAGCATACATCATCAGGTAAGAGATGGAAGCTTGGGGCACACCACATTGCCTCAGAACCACAACGTTCGGAACCATGTGTTTCGTGATGCCACTATATATAAAACCAAATGGGGCATTTTTCAAAGCCCTAACAACTTCCCCATCGTCACGAAGAACACTCCTTAGTATCTCATAACGTGGAATGAGACATTTTTCCAAGCTTCTGAACAACATAAGACGGCTAGCAATTAGGATCTTAGGCATGTCAGTGTCCGAAACCCCAATAGAACGGAAGAACTTGAGTTTAGGCAAAAGGGTATTCTCAGCATTTGTAGAAAGCAATGTGGGATGAATCTCCACAAGTTTTGCAAGCTGGGACTTGGAGAACCCATAGTTGCTGAGAAGATCAATCACAGCATTTGGGCCATCTGGGGTTTTCAAATTGACCCTGTGGGAGAGTTTTCTGGCCAGTGTTGGGGATACCCCACACGAGTTGATGAGGTAAGACACGGTAAATGCGTCACCTTTGTGGTGGTTTCCTTCTGATTCAGAAGCAGTAGAGGTGCTTGAAGTGAAGGAATTGAAGAATAAAAGAAAAGCATTGTGTTTGTGTTGCAGCAGAGAACCCAATCGAATTTGGGTACTTTTATGGTCTGTGATTGATGCAGTTAACGTTCGAATCATAAAATTAGCAACCATTCAATGAGCTTGCTCTAGTTCTTGCCCACACAGCACAGTGTTGAGGATGTAATGAAATGCAGAATGCAACGAGGTGAGAGTGGTGAGAGTGGTAAAGTCGTGGGTAACCTTTCAACGCATCATAACGAGTGCTCAGTGTGTAAGATTGTATAAAAAGATCATATCTAAGTAGGGATGGCAAAACGATAAGGCAGGCGGGTTCGTTTTCGGCCCACCAGCCCGCTATGGTGTGTCCCGCTAAGTCTGTCAACCCGTCGGGCCAACCCTTGAGATGGGATGGGCCAGCCCGCGGTCCGCTGGGCATGGCAACGAGGCGGAGCGGGGGCGGGATTTGCCTCCCCCGTCCCCGCCCCCGACTTTTTTAACCATCCTCGTCCCCGATCCCCGCCGGGGTTAGGAATTAAGTCCCCATCCCCGTCACCGCTGGGTTTCGGGTTCCCGCCCTGCCCGTCTCCAATTTATATTATTTTTAAAAAGATAATTATATTTATAATAAATTAATTTTACTATGTATTTTTATATATAAATAAATATTTATAATTTATAGTTATTATTAATTAAATATACATTTTAATTTATTATATTTATATTAAAATATATATGTAAAAGAAATATTTAATTATATTTTATTTATATATATATATATATATATATATAATATTTATAACATTATTATTATTATTATTATTATTATTATAACACTTGTATTCAAATATTTGAATATTTATAACATTATTATTATAATACTGTATTCAAATATTTAATTATACATATAAGTTAATTCATTTTTAAGTTGTCAATATATAGTTTATAAGAAAATATTTAATAAGTTAATTCTTATTTAATTAGTTTGAAGTAATAAAAGTTTAAATTATTAATTTCTTTTAATCCTTTAAAATGCAATTATTTTATTAAGATAAAATTTGATATATGATAAATAAGCATAATAAGATAAAAAAATATGGCATAATAAATATAAATTATAAATAAACTAATATTAGTTACTACTAATATTGATGTAAAATATTTAGAAAAAGATAAAGAAAAAAGATTAACTTTGTGTTCATCAAATTGGTTGAAAAGATTGAAAAAAAAACAAATTGATGGGAGAGACTAAGAAAATGTGAAAAACTGAAAGATAAGGGAGATAATAATATAATAAATTAATTGATATAAAAGATTGAGAAAGATAAAAAAAATTAAAAAGTGGGTAGAAGAAAAATAAAAATTGGTGAAATATAAAAAAATAACCTTATATGTAATAGAAAAAGAAAATGAAATACTTTTAAAATATTAATATTTTAAAATTTAAATTTAAATATAAAGTTGGGGCGGGACGGCGGGACGGGCGGGGTCGGGCGGGATTGCATTACCCATCCCGCCCCGCCCGACTTTTAAAGCGGGAAAACCCGAACCCGACCCCGCCCCGGTCAACTCGGGGTTTCCCGTCAAACTCGGGGCGGGGACGGGTCGGTCCCCACGGGTACGAGTTTAATTGTCATCCCTACTGGTCCGCCTAATTAATAAAAAAACAATTTTTTATTGTAATAAAATTAATTATAAAGATAATATATAAAGTTAAAAATTTTAAAAAGAGAATTAAAAAAGTTTCATTCTCACGGAAAATATTCTCCTTCCTAAAATATAATTTTCTCTCCTGTTCTCCTTATTTATCCTAAGCACTCGATTATATTTATCCTTATTACTTGAATTAAAGATATAAGAATTACTCAACCAAGAATAATATGAAGTTTTATCAAATAAAAAAGATATAGGTATTTGAATTTTACAATATAAAAAATATAAATTTTATAAGTTTAACGTTATTTATATATATATATACATATATATATATATATATATATATTTGTTATTATTTATTATTATGTAAATTTTATTATTGTTCTAAATTATAATTTCTTAAAATAATGTATTGATTTATATTATTAAATTGAAATAATATATATATATATATATATATATATATATATATTTGTTATTATTTATTATTATGTAAATTTTATTATTGTTCTAAATTATAATTTCTTAAAATAATGTATTGATTTATATTATTAAAT